AGGCGGGTACGCCGCGGGGTGCGGGTGTAACAGAGCGATGAGGAGCTCTGCAGGGAGATCCGCGGGGCGCCGGCCTCTCGCGTTCCGTTACTTCTGTCACGGACGGATCATCTAACTCGAGCTACGTGATCGAGAGCTGCCTCGGTCCTCTAAACACTGAGGTAGACTTGAGCTGCCTGGCGTCAGCAGAACCGCACGGAGTAACGTGCGTTCGCGGTACCTGGGCTTTGGGCTCCAGAGACTCCGCACTCCCCCGGCTCACAGGCACGTTTTTCGGGTTTTCTTTTTTGCTTGTATCGCTCGCTGCATCTGAAGCTTTGGCCAAGCTGGGATGAATGTGCGAGTTCAGCTGTGCAATACTGTCACTATCCGCAGGACAAAACAACAACAACAAAAAAAAAAGCCTGCAGTACAGAAAGAAAAACGTGGAAACAGGGGAAAGATGGGGACGTGATCCAAAACCGTGTTAAAAATGAAAGCAATGTTAAACTACATAAGAAAAATAAAAATCTTACATTTCTAATGTTACTTGAACAAATGTGGAACATGGATGATTCTGTTGGCTGGCTACCCCTTTGAGCAAATTCTACAATTAGTTTATATAGTTATTAAGACACTATTCTTCAGCTTAGCTTTTGTAATTTCATATTCGAAGCAACAGAATAAATTATCTTGTATAATGGAATGAGGTATCCCTTTCCAGGTAGGAGAAGGATGCTGTAGCCATTACAGTGCTGGACAGTATCTTGAAGCACCTGCATTTATTCTTTTGTTGTACTCTGCCAGAAACTTCCTCAGTGAAGTTGGGTAAGTCAAGCCCTGATCCTCTGAAGGTACCCAATGCCTACTGAGGATCTCCTTTTGTCTCCATTTGTTATCTTTAATAAGGAATTACAGTATTTCTTTACTTCTGTAGTGGTTGGACAAGGAGTAATGGGTTTAAACTTAAACAGGGGAAGTTCAGGATAGATGTAAGGAAGTTGTTCTTTACTGGTGAGGCACTTGAACAGGCTGCCCAAAGAATTGATAAACGCTCCATCCCTGTCAGTGTTCAAGGCCAGGTTGGATGGAGTCTTGGGTGACATGGTCTAGTTGAGGCATCCCTGCCCATGGCAGGGGGGTTGGAACTAGATAATCTTAACGTCCTTTCCAACCCTAACCATTGTATGATTCAAATAGATTTTTCAGGGGAAAAATATTAAAGATTAGGAGTGGCTTGGATATTTGGTAGTGGATGGGAGCTTGTTAGCTTTTCGAAAGTGTTGCCTTGATTACATAGCATACATAAATGCGGGATATAATCAAGCTTAGCTCCTTGATAAAATGATCAGCTTCTGATGTAGTACTTCACCTTTTTAAAGATAATTTTCAAGCAATAATTACATATTAATGTGGAACCTCATGACTTATATCAGCCACTAAGTAGGACCCACCATGGTAGAAGACTTGCTTGTAGCTAAAGTAAATTAGCTAGTCCCTCTTTACGCTTCAGAAGCTTTGATATGCTTATTAGACATAGTCATCTCTCTCTCAAGCTCAAGCTTTCAAAGCATCAGACATAAAGTCTGATGGAGGACTTTGAGAGTGGCTACTCTGATATGTGAGGGGGTTTGAATGCTGATTCTGTACCCTAAGTAGAGTGAAAATTATCAGAGTTGGTTGCCCTCTTTTTTTTTTTCTTTTTCTTTTTTTTTTTTTATTTTTACTCAAGTCCCTTACAATAGGATTTCCTTTACATTGTAAAATGTAAAGTGTAATTACTTCTGGGTAGGTTTTTCTTTTGTGAGCTAGTTCAGCTGCACACAGCTGAGCTGAGATCTGACTACCACAGCTGTGCTCGTTTAAAACAATGGACAATGATTTCTTTTTCTACAAACTGACAGCAATTCATGAATCCTTTCCTTGTTACTTTCTGCACTTATGCAGTTAACTTGCAATTAAACTGTTTGTTCAGAAGCGGTAATAACATTTCTAAACCCATGAATCAAAAAGGAAAACTTGAGTTTGAATGTGTATTGCATATCCTCAGTATGGAGTTTGAAATCTATATACTGCTTAAAGGCTCAACAGAAGCGGGCTTTCCCAGAGCTGTAGTTTTGGGGGGTTTTATGTGTGTGTTAACTGAGAGGAATGCCTCACAGTTCTAATTAGAGACTTATATTTATCACAGGTTTCTATACAATCTTACATTCCTACTTTATTTTTTCTAGAATAAATGGGTGTATATGTCTTTTCCCCTGACCTAAAGCGGTTCCATGTCTTGTTTGGTAAGTCTGTATTTAAAAACCTTTGGCAATTGTACCTTGTTACCCAGTCGTACCTTAATGTGAAAAAGTTCTGGTGAAGTGCCTTGCTGGAGGGGATTTCCACAGTGCTGAGGTATTTAAACTTTGTTGTATTGACTTACGCTGAAGGAGATGGTTCAGTATCTCTCCTCTCTAGATCTGCCATGTATGTGTTCTATGCTGGTTTTTAACCTCTCTCTTGACTGACTTGTAGCAGAAAACTTTCTGAACTCCTGTTTATAGGGTTACTTTTTGATGTTTTCCCACAGCTTTGTTTAATAAATTGCAGCAACTCCACTAACATTCACTTATTTCTGTTCTCAAGGACTGTTCCTGTATTCTACGTACACCAGTTGAATCAATCAGACCAGAAGAGTTATCTGAGAGCAGCATCCATGAATGCCTGGTAAGAAGAAAATAGAAACATTAACAGGCAACATTAAATATGAAGCTGGTACATATTAAAAATAATCTCATTAGAGGTACTTCTTAAAATGTTAACAGCAAAAATAATCAGAGTACTTCAGGGCTTTCACTCTGGAACAAGACTATAGGTAATGAAGTATTACTCTTAATCTTGTACCACTTTAAAAACAAAGCAAACACACACACAAAAACCAAGTAGTTCGTAAAACTGAGTCTCAGTTTAATGGTAAAAGCACCAGCTCGAACGTTACGACTTGAAGACTCGATCTTAGCATTTTAATTACTGGTGTTTCTGTGTTAACATGTAAATGTTTAAAATTACATAGTCATTTTGAGAACTGCTTTTCCTCACTTTTAGGCTGATTCTGATCTAGCCTGGATTCCCCCATCTACAGGAAGGAATGAAATGGTATTTTGCTCTTCTAATGTCTCTCACTATGAACTCCAGCTCCAAATAGGTAACATAAGCATGCCTTAAAATATTTCTTGTTCCTGCAGATGCATGCTCTCAATAGGTTATTGCTAACTGTAGTAAATACTAAGTTGGAAAATGTATTATCAATCAGCTGACAAGAACTATTCTTGTGTCTTCTTAGTTGAGAAAAGTTCAGAACATTGCTCATGTTTGTGATTCCTATTTTAAGATATCAATAAAAATCATTAATTACCTGTTTTTTTCTCTTGATGTTTGTGCATGTCAGTTTTCTAAATCTGTGGTATGTGGACAATAAATACAGCATTAAGTAACATCACATGTTGTCACTTGGCTACCTGAGCTGGTTGTTCTAAGGATGGCTGCCCTCAATCCTACTGTGCATGCATTATGTGAATATGCATGCTGAAAATGTTGTTCATTTAGATGTATAATGGATACTGACAAGTGTTTCAACACTTTAAATTGTAAGAATAGCAGAGCCATGCTTTAATTTGCTGGATATGTTCTGCTGCAACTACTTAAGTTCTTGACATTCTTAAAGAAAAGGCAATGCTGCCATCAATTGCACTTTTAGAAATATAAAATTATCTCTAAATATGAAGGAAATTGTGGTGGATTATTATATTCTTCAATGTTAAGGTAGCCACTTCTGGTTTCAGGAAGGAGGTTCAACAACTTAACTTCAATCTACCTTGCACGGCATACGCCTACAGGCATGCAAGTTGCTGTAAGGATCACAGACCTAGAAAATTGCTCTGAAGAGCATTTGAAAGCCTTACAGGTAAAGCAACAGCATTTCTGCACAAGTCTGGTGAAGATAGTGATGAATACATATGAGGTTACTAAACAGATGTTGCCTTTGTGTTTGTACTGGGTCATTTCAGTCAGGTTTTTCCTCCAAAGGAGTAGAATATAAATACAAGGCACACATAAATTTGAGAGTTGCTTTCTGAAGAAAAGAGCTGAGAAGTATTTTAGAAAAACTTCTGTAATTGTACAACTTTCTGTTTGAAACATATTCTGTGCTCTGTATTTAACACTAAACTTCAGACTATGAGCAAACTAGGTTTACTTCAGACAAATGCAATTATAGGCAAGTTATTTACATTTCTATTGCAGGCTATGCACATCACCTGCAACTTTGTATAAATTCACACAGGGAACAGTTCTTTCTACTGATTACTGATGTAGTTAATGCTCTTAAGACTGTTGTCTTGTGGTTAACGCATCCACTTTCATTTAATTCCATAGAATGAGGTGGTTTTATCCCACTTTTTCCAGCATCCCAACGTAATGACGCTTTGGACAGTGTTTACAGCTGGTAGTTGGCTTTGGGTCATCTCCCCATTCATGGCCTATGGTAAGAACTGTTAACTGCAATTTTGGAATAGTAAAAAGGGGGGATACAATTTTGGCCACATGGTCCATGAGAGGTTTTTGTTTAAGCATCTCCAGTCTTGTAGAAAAAAACAGACTTTCCCAAACCATTTTTTAGAGAAGTCTTCTGTACAAAATCATCTTCCCCAGTGAAGACTGGTATTTGAACTGCATTAAATTGCACTTAGATATGAGGAATGGTAATTGGGAAACTTATTTGACTTTATACAACATTGAATTTTGCTAACAGAAAACTTGCCTAGATTGAATACAGGTTTGATAATGACTTTGATTTAACAGAAGCATGACTGGAATGTGATCTTTGCCTGATGGATGCATGTAACTGTTCTTGACTTACGGTAGTCAATGTAACAATGAGAATGCCACTCTTGATGAATGTATACAATGAAGCAAGCACAGATGAGTAATTTAACAAGACTTGTTAGTCTTAGCTAGGTTTTTCCACTTCCAGGCTCAGCTAGACACCTGCTGAAGACTTATTTTCCTGAAGGAATGAGTGAAGCTTTGATAGGGAACATTCTATTTGGTGCAATCAGAGGATTAAATTACATGCACCAGAATGGCTACATTCACAGGTAGGAGAATGTCAATAGGTAAGAATCAGATTACAGCATCCAGTTTATTAAGAATTTAGATTTGCTTCAAACTCAGCTTGAGTTGTCTCCTTCCTTTTTCTGTATACCTTCTTATATCAGACAGTGCAGAACCATTTTTTTTTTCTTTTTTCAATAATACAGCAGAACCGAGTTTGTAGAAGCTTAGCAAGAACAGTATTCATACATTACTTAAAGCCAGTTGCTACAGGGATTATACATCTGTTTGGCTTTGTCTTGAATCAGAGTTGTAGAAAGGGCTTCCTTACTTTACACCCTTGCAGGTAAAGAGGGCCCTTCTCCAGTTTCTGGCTGCCTTTCCTCCCTCCTCTTACCCCCGCAGTCTGTGTTCTCTCTTGGGTCTGTATTAAAAAGACATCTCATACTGAGAGAAGAACTTCCGTGAAAATAATCTGCTAAATAGAACTGCATACTAACATCTTCCTATAAGTTAATGAAATATGAAAGCCTTTCTACTCTAGTACTGCTTTGAATAATTCCTATAACTAAAATTTACCACTTTATGTTACAGGAATATTAAAGCTAGCCACATTCTGATTTCAGGGGATGGGCTGGTTTCTCTCTCTGGCTTAAACAACCTCTACAGTTTAGTTAACAATGGACAAAAGTCAAAGGTGGTATATGATTTTCCCCAGTTTAGTACATCTGTGCTTCCTTGGCTGAGTCCTGAACTACTGAGACAGGTTAGTATAAATTACACTTCATTTTTCAATCCATCCTGTACATAATCCCATGTAGATAACATGGTATTAGAACCTTGTCTTGAAACAGACACTTGTATTTTTGTCAGCACTGCTCAATGGCATTAGTGAACAAGTAGAGTTCTCCTTCTCTCACAGGATTTATCTGGGTATAACATGAAGTCTGACATTTACAGTGTAGGAATTACAGCATGTGAATTAGCCAATGGACATGTTCCATTTCAAGATATGCCTCGCACTCAGGTATGATGCTAAATTCTGTTTCTACTTCAAAACACTGAGCTTTGTTTGTTTTACTCTGAGAAACCAATACTATTGCTGCTGAAATGGTGGCTGCTTTTTGTTACTTCAGGTACACATGCTTCTTTTTAGATAAAATAATTCCTTCCATTACTGGAGTTTCACATCTTAGCCTGAATAGGTCTGGATAGCTTTTGAACTCTTGTACTGCTATTCCTTTCTACTAGATGCTGCTGCAAAAGCTGAAAGGTCCCACATATTGTCCTTGGGATATAAATACATTTTCCTGTGGGGAATCCAGGATAAAGAATTCCCGGTCAGGTGTTGATTCTGGAATTGGTGAGAGCATGACACGCACAATGACCAGTGAAAGACTACAAATTCCTTTTTCCAAGACGTTTTCACCTGCTTTCCACAACTTGGTAGAACTTTGCTTGCAACAGGACCCTGAGAAAAGGTAACGTTCTGCTGGAAACTGATTTTCTGTCATTTCAATCTAAGACCACAGCCCACAACTTAGGATACAGTAGTTAGTTGAATACTGTTCCAAGTCAGAATTTCAGACGAGAAGTACTATGCAAAACACTACACTTACCTTTGGTTTTGTAATTTAAAAGTTATCTTGTCTGTTAAAGGAACCATGCTTTTAAAGTTGTTTGTTTGATGCCTGAATTTCTTGTAATATAAATGTACTCTGTAACAAGTAGAATTAATTTTTAAACATGTACTTTGTCCAAGAAGAAAACAGAAATCTGAAGCATATGTTTTCAGTACTATCTCTCTTCTGAATGAGGCATTAAAGCCTTTTGAAATAATTTCTTTAGTAGTGCTTTCACTACAAATTGAGGCATAGAATGTTGGAATCCTGTGCTGCTTTTCTCATGCTTCACATTTGTCCTGTGGATGACAAATTGATTTGTGAGTCTAGCCCATTTTCCAGAAGCAGTATTTTACTTTCTAAAACACATTGTTCATTTTTTGATCCAGGCCATCAGCAAGCAGTTTGCTTTCGCATACGTTCTTCAGACAGGTGAGTTTACTACATTTTGTTAAATGACATAGCTATAGTCTAAGTAAACCACGAAATATTAGAGTTGGATTACAAAATAATTAAGTTAGCTGGAGCCAGAAACCATCCTGTAACAGCATATCTGCTTCAGACTTTTTTTTTTCCTTAAACAAAATGGTATTTGCTAAGAGTATAGCAAGCATAAGTGATCCATTTCCCCTTTGATAAAGTTGGTTTAACTAAAGTCAGCCTAACTAATAAGAATAATGGTTAATATTCTTAATTTAAAGCAGAAAAACTGCATAGCTATTGTAATTAGTCTTCAAAGACTAATTCAACTTAGAGTGAAGAAAACTAAACCCCTCATCCTATTATTTTCAGTATTGTAACATGCAAGAGCATGGCTGTAATTTTCACATGCTTTTAATGAAGTCAGATGCAAGGTTATGTAGACTTTTATGTGCAGCCTTGTTTTAACTTTTCTTCTTTCTAGATAAAAGAACAAACACAGAATTCACTAGTGTCTCTATTACCACCTCCTATTCAAAATAACAGATCAGAGTTCTTGGCACTGCCCTCAACAACAGTTGGGACTGAACTTGGACATACCACTGCAAATCAAGACGATACGGACTGGGAATTCTAAATAAATACCAAACAATCATACCTCTCCTGTGCTTCAAAGAAGGAAAATGTGATTTTTACTTGCTGCTTTAGTTTGTATGGTTAAAATACAATTAGACGAGATATACTTGAAAGTGCCACTGAAGTGGCCCTATTTCATTAACTACTTTCTTTGTTGGCATAATGAAATGCAGCATGCCTCACTTTCTGACCATAAGGAAAACTGTACATAGAAAACAGCTGAATGCCTATCTCCCTTTCAAAATACTTCTTAAGAGAGTTCCTGCTGTAATCTTACTCTGTGCTGTATTTTCAGCTGATATTGCTGCACTCCATGTGCCTTTATGAATTCAGTCTTGGGTTTTGCCTGTGACCTTGCTTTGACAATCTGTCTTTTCATTATCACTCAAATTACTTTAGTGAGGAGAAATCCTCCACTTCCAAGTCTAAATCTGAAACTGCACAAATTAGTTGCTTATGCAGATAAATGTTTCTCTTTTCATACATCCCAAAAGGCATTTTTTCAGTTGATGTGCTGTCATACTTGCCAAAAGTTAGCTATGCATAATATTTCATGCAGTTTTAATACTGTGTGTTTCCCAAAGAAGTTAAGCTACTTGAAAATGTGACTCCTGCTTTTGTATTTGCCTACATTCTTAGTACAGATTTGTGGTTTTGCATCTCCATTTACTGTTGTCATTTTAGCAGTTAATCTGAGGATCTCTTACTATGCAATAAAAGTCTGAAGTTATAACAGTACGGGTTAATTTTGAAGAACCACATTAAATAATCTAAAGTTACTGTACATATTTTTATTTATACTGTATTCCTGTTCACCAGAACTTACCAGAACCTAGTACTGTTTTCTTAAAAGAACAGGCAACATACATACATTAAAAGCTTCACTGCACTGCTGCTTGCAAGCAAGCAGTTTAAATTCCCATGGATAGATTCACCCATAATAAAAACCTAATAAACCTCCTTAGGATTCTAGTGAACTTACTTGTTTTAAGTCAGATGAAAAACTGTCCTTCTCCCTACAATTCAGTAAGTTCTCATCTCTCGTACTGTACCAGGCAACTCAAGCTGAACAAAAGCAGCTTTAAAAAAAAGCTGCATGTTCTCATAGTGTTTTAGCAAGTTGAGTCCCAAAGCCACTAGTACTTTACTGTTATGTAAAGTTGCGTATGTAGAAAAAAAATATAAACAGATATCAAATGATTGTATTTTATATTTTCAACATAAACAGCATTCCACATTAAGTCTTCCACAGCTGAGCCAGTCTGCAACCAGCCTTGAGAATACTGCTGTTTTGTTAGGAGCTTCACTACAATGCCTTCAAGACCAAATGAAATACAAGCTGAGACTGACATAAAATTCTAAGTGACCGCATTAAAGTATTAACAAAAAGTTGATTCTACTCATTATGCTGTGAAGAGAGCTCTGTATTTCAAAACTTAATACATGAAACTTCAGATTAAAAACCTTTCAATAAACTTACCCTGTCTCCATTTATTTCTGTAATTTTTGTACTTCTATTTTCACCATAGTCCTGTTGTACTAACAGCTTCTTGTTACTGCAGGTAAGAAGTTTCATATCAGCCACCAATCTTCCATTTGTGAACAGCAAATCTAGCCAGGCCTCTCCCCTCACCAGTTGGGTCAGGAAGTTATCTGCACACCCTCCAAGAATATTTATGCATTTGCAAAATCTCACAGCCACTGAAACAGAGATTTATAGGTTTGTTACTTTTGCAGTACTTGTGAAAACAACACAAAAGGTGCTTTTCTTTTGTTTTATTTTTGCTGCACCTTTCTTTGTGCTAGAATTTAACACTACATAAAATAATGAAATACCTGTAATAATGGAAAACTTAATAAACATCCTGAATATATACCCAATATCTTGAGTTTCTTACTTGTCTTGATCTGATATCGCAGCAGTCTATCAATGTCTGAATGGACAAGCACAGGAAAAAGTGTGATTTACTCAGAATCAACTTGATCTGCTATATGAACTACTCACTTTAAAAAGTCTCAATGCAATAAATAACCATTGAAGAGATAATAAGTTTCTCACACTCAATGCAATTAAAGAACAAAAATAAATAGATAGGAAGTTAGGAGTTTTACCTTACCTCTCCCTTTTCTCCTCAAGTGCTATGAAAGCAGTTTTTAATCTAGAGAATGGGTAAAATCATGGGAAAGCATTTGAAAACCATTGTTCCGGATGTCTCTTGACACAAAGCAAGATAGATACCCAAGTAGGTGACTTCTTACTTACTTACATACCCCATCTTTAATGCTAATAAGTAGCTTTGCTAAAGTATATTAGGTTATCTAATAAGCATTTAAACCAACTAAGATGATAGCTGTAATGACCTGTCTGATGGCCCTGTTCTGTCTGTATGAGGAATAACTAAAGTTCAGAGATACCACACCACATGTCCGTGCAGACAGACCTCGAAAGACTAAGAACCATACTATGAAATAAAGCTATTTGCTGTAACAGATCAGTAAAGTCTTACTGATTTTAAACAGAAAGCACTGAAAAATTGAGGTGGTCTACTAATAACCAGCTAGCAGAATAACATTTGGTATTTAGCATAATTAAACCTATCCGGAAACTTGAGATAGGATGAAGAAAAGAATATTAGGTTTAAACAGGTTCCTGTGGAAACTTCCATCATTCCCAAATGAAAACTCCATAAATTGATAAATCCATTACTTTTGGATAACTAATGTATGCTACCAATCCAAAATTCCTGAAAAATTCCTGAAAAATGCCCAAAAAGGTCCATATGAAATAAGCTGCATTTAAGTGGTGGTTTTATTTTTAGGTATGATTACTGTATATGCCATTACTTCTGGATTTACCCACAAATCCAGGTTCTTGGAATCTATATTTGTCTTGTCATGAAATCCACCTGCAATAGACTGGACCACTAATAGAAGCTGAAATCTTACCTTAGAGTCTTGACAGGGCTTTCAAAATTTAGGTTATGGCAAAACAAATTGACACACTAGTAATAAAGAAGGAATATTACATAAAAAATTCCTAGGAAAGAACTATGTGAACCTTCAGAGTGGTTGCTTTCACTTACTGTAGTTATAATACTGTAGTTAATGTTTTCTAACCACATTAGAAAAAATCCACTTGAAAATATTTTCATTTTTATAAATACTACATACTTTTACATCTTCGAAATGCAAGAGAATCTTGTTATTCTGATAGCAAAAACACATTTTCCATCAAAGTATTTTTTTTCTTGCAATGGTCTGGTCTCTTTGCATAATCCATTATTTTATCACATCAATTAATTCTGATTAAGATTCCACAGTGTGCAACACCTTATTTTGTAACTGACCAAAGCCAGAAAATCTATGTAACACCTGTAACCAATGTGAAAACACATTTAATGTTGGTTAACACATTAAAGTGAAAGATATTGCAAGAACATTATTATTATTATCATTATTATTGCTAGTATTATTACTACTAGTACTAGTTCATGACTTCTTTTTTTTTTTCTTCATCACAACCTGGAACATTATCTTGCCAGGTGAGATTCCCAAATAAGATTTTCCTTGCCCTCTCACTTTTCTTTGGAAGGGCATTCTGGATTCCCGTCGTTTTGCAGTGTCACAATTTCCAGTAATAAATCTTGGGAGTATTTCTCCAAGAAACTCAACCTTTTTATTCACCCTTTTCTTAAAATTGATTTCCATTTGCTCTGCTTGAATGTTTTGAGTCTCAAACTTCAAGATGATAGTATTTCCTGTAAATCCTTCTAGTTCTCATATGTTTGATGTGGTCAATTAAAAGCAAAATATTCTTACAGGCAAATTTCCTTTTCCCATGTGAAATCTGGAAAGATGCTTGTAGATAAAGTTTTCTTTGAATGCTTTCATAGTTTGAGGTAGTTGTTGTTCTGTAGTAGCTGATGAACAATCACAGACATTCTTAAATGCTTTGTTTGTCTGGCTGTCATGTTCTTTTCTTGCTTTGCTTTCTGCTTCAAGTTTTCCTTACTATGGAAGAACACAGCTGATTTTGAATCCTTGACCCCACAACCATATGATGTCGAAAGAGCTGGTTCAGCATACTTCCATGTTTTTCTTTACAATGTCACTACATTTTCTCAAATTAGTTTGTTTTTCCCTTCTTAAATTGTGTATTTGCAAATATTCATCCCAGATGTTAGTGGCATGTCATGGCACATTTCTTAAAAGCCTTACTACATCACTTGTCTTTTGACTTCCACTCAGGATTTCTTGGTGACTTTTTCCTCATGCTCAGCTTGTTGAAAGACATTTTGGAAAGGAGAACCATGGCATTCAGCAGTATTCTGCTTGAATAATGGCATCACAAACATTTAAAAATGGAAGAAGAATCTACTGTTTCAGGTATTTCTCCTTGTTCTTTTACCATTAGTCTTTTAACAATTTCAGAATCTTTTATTGATGGTGCTATTTCATTTTTTGCCATTTCTTTTTTCAGAAGTGGTTGTTGTTGGTTTTCTTTCAGGGTTCTTCTGGTGGGTTTAGGTTGTTTGTTGGGTTTTGGTTGGCTTTTTTTTCTGGGATGTTGCTTGTTTTCCCCACAAGTACATTAAACTGTTTGGTTTTCATTGTGTAGGTGAACTGCTACATCTCTCAGTTGGTGTGGAAATTTATCCACAAGACGTTTTTTTTCTCTTGCCTATCACTATCTGTCTGAGGCCCGCCTGTACCAACCTGAAAGCCCACATTTTCTTCCAATTCATTGAGTACAGTACAGGAAACTGCCTTAGCTAGGGATTTTAAGTTTGAAGAGAAGATTACATTAATTTAAAATACAGAATTAAATCAAATAGTTTGGTTCGTGCGTAGGGACATATGGAAATTCTCCTTTTTGTCTTGGTTTCCTGTTTCGATTATAGCTACTACAGAGGCAGGCATTGGCAGCCATTACCGAGTGAAGGGGGATAGAAGAGCCAGAGAAATCTAGCTCTGTTCCCGCGAGGAAAGAAATATTTTAATCTCCAGATGAGGCAGGAATGGAAACCAGTCTATTAAGCAAGCTGGCTTCCCTCCTTGCCTCCGTTACACACGCACGACACCCAGTAAGAGGAGAAAAACACCGTTCCTGAGCACAGCGGTGCAGGGTAACCCTGCTCCCTTCCCCTTAATGCCCCTGAAGGCCAACGTGCCGCCGTCCGCTCGGCGCCCCCTGCTTGAGGCGGAGGGGCTGCAGCGACGGGCGG